TAAAGCATGGGCAATAGCGTAGCCTTCCTGTTTTGTCTCCCATGTAAATACAGGGCTGTTTTCAAAGAAAAAGCAGCAGTAGAGCCCAGTAGAGTCAGTCCTCAAATCCTGGCTCAGACACTCAACAGCTGCATAACCAATAGGCAAGTTACTTTTCTTGGCCTCAATTTCACTTCTAAGCGGTGACAATACTATCTACTTTCATAGGGCTGCTGAAGGGAGTAAATGCAGATTTAACATTGTGCACACACACTGATAAAGCCCTACTCCCATATTAGTTTTTCAACATCCTACTTCACAAAGACTCAGAGTTCCCAGCCTGCTACCCTGGCCCCTCCCCTGGGTCCCACACATCTCCCCCAATTCAATAACTAAAGATTACTCTTAGCACATGAAGCTTTTAGGACACTGCTCCAGTATGTGTTCTGAATCACTGGTGACCACTCATTATTAGTGATTAAATATTCAGAATATTTCCCTTGGTTAAATGAAGTAAATATAAAGCAGTGCCTGACACACAGTAGGTGCTCCAACTTAGCTATTATGGTGTCTCCAACATGACTTGACATGTAGTCAGTTTAATAGGTCTTGAATATTTTGATCATTCTCTAGGAGCAATGAAGTTAAGCAATGAAATTGTGTTTGATTAAAAAAAAAAAATCCTCTAAGGCTAGAATTGAGTAAGAAGGGGCGGGGGGGAGAGACCGAGCAAGAACAAAGGCTTCCAAATGTGGCAAGGAACAAAAATGTGTTTTAAATGTTGATCCAATTTTCATTAAGAGTTTTTAGTTAATCCAGAAAGAGAACAGCAGCAATAAACTATGCTTCCCTATGTGAACACCAGCAAACAAAAAAATCATTATCTACTATTTTCCATTACTGCTTCCATCCCAGCCTCCCTTCATCTCCTTTTCAGAGCTCTGAGGTTTGTTACTCTCTGGAATATAACTTGCTTATAAAAATCACCTGAAGAAAGCACTGGTGAGAGAGAGAGAAAAGAAGGAGGAGGAGGAGGAGGAGGAGGAGGAGGAGGAGAGGGGAGGGAAAGGGAGGAGGAGGGAGGGAGGAGGAGAGGTTAGCTGTCAAAAATTAACAGTGTTTATTCTTTTATAAGGAATATATAATCAGCATGTTTTCAAAACAAGCCAGTGTCAGAGCTGAAAAGCTGCTTTTAAAAAATTACTTTTCTTACTCAAGTTCCCAAGGGTGTTGTGAAGCAGGGGAATATTAACTCCTTCCCTGCCTTTACATTATGTAGGCCACAGGGCATTCTTAAAACTTATCTATCTATTCGCATACCTCATCCTAAATTTTTCAACATTTGACTCCCTTGTTGTTTGAAGGAGAAACTCATACATATTTTTAAAAGACATCTCAAATATTCAAACATTCAAATATTCATGCTCCTTACAGTTTTTCAAAAAAGTTCAAGTCACAAGGTGAGAATAAAACTTTCAAGAATTTCATTATGTCTCGCATTATGTTGGCTCACATTTTTATCCGATGAGTTATGAATCCACTGCACCCAGAAATAAACACCTACTTGTCTTCATGTAACAAAGCTGGTCAAGAATTTAATTTATGATACTTTACAAAAACCCAACTTTTATATAAACGGTCTTACCACAGGGTGAAAGCAACATGAATGTTATTTAACCAGAAATGGCAGTAGCCTTAGAAAGAACAGCTCGTTAAAGTCAGAACTCTCTAGAGGGTGCTACAGCCAAACTGGTAACGCTCAGTCTGAACACTACGATCTTGATTCTTGACAATCAAGAAGGCTCTAGAGCTATGCGACCTAATCAAATTTAAAATTCAGTTCCTTGGTCACAGCTTTCTGCCCCACAGCCCTCTGTCACATTTCTGTCAAGTATGTGATAGCCACAAATAACTCAACCTGGGCCTGATACAGACTCTAATATGGAAAGACAAAAAATGCTGCTGACAGTATATTCTGGATTATGTAGATTCTCCTGATTTTTAAAGGTTGGCAATCAAAATTTTAAAGGATAATAAAAATACTGTGTGGAGACCAGAGGAGACTGAGGAGACAGGACAACTAAATGCATTTGTGTATCTTGCACAGGATCTTAGAAGAGAAAGAAGTTAATGGAAGAAACAGTGAAATCTCAATAAAGTCTAGAGTTCCGTTAATACCCACATCAGTTTCTTAGTTTTGACAAAGGTGTCACAGAAATACAAGATGTGAATCATGGAAAAACTGGGTGGGGTGCATATGGGAACTCTACTACCTTTTCAACTTTTCTATATAGCATCAATTATTCCAAAATCAAAAGTTTAATAAACAATAACCACTGTGTGTGCCAAACCTGTCCCACAAGCCTTCAGTTTGTAATCTCTAAACACCACGAATCCCAAATCACAAACACCTCACAGATATTATACACAGCACAAATATAAACAATACATTTTCATAAACGAGAATAATCATGACCAATTATGAAGGGAGATGCCATCAGAAGAAGGGTAAAACGAGTAAAACGCTGGCAAAACAACATAATGCACCTTGAAGAGTTTCATAGCCTAACATTCTCAGAATTGTGCAAAGTCTAAAATCTAAAAGATTCAAATATATTCATATTTTAAGTATAGATGTACACCCATGGGCCAGGCAAAAATCTCAGATGGACTATAACCATGTGCCCCAAATGTAAGATACATCATAATAGCCTAAGAAATCGGGAAGGGAGGACCAATGGCCACCGGAGCGATCCGGCGGACGATGAGCTCTGAGAGTCTGGAAACATTGAAAGGGCCTCCTTGGCCGAGGAGTTGGATCAAAAAGAAACAGAAACAGGGATGAACATGAAAGAGAGAAGAATGCTCTGCCAAGTATAAAGGAGTGAGGGGCAAACAGCCTGGTTAGATCATGGGAGGTCAGATCAAAGAGGGCCTTGAAAGCCAAGCAGAGAAGTCTGGCCTTGAAGCAGGGCAAAGGGACAACATAACATCCCTACAGAGGGAAGGGGTGTGAGGAAAGCAGAGCGTGAAGAAGATGAATTTGGTCATGTTCCTACTACATTAATTTGGAAATGCTCACCCCCCTGTATCATTCCACACCCCTGTAACTTTCTCACATATCCAGGTTCAAAGCCACGATGTCACCCTCAATTCCCCCACTGATCTCACCAGCTGCAATCCTACAAATTCTATACCTCACACATCTTTCATCCATCTTCTACCCCTGCTGCCAAGACCTCAGTTCAACTCGTCTTTACCCTGTCTGCTCATCCTCTTCCCTCCCTGGTACTGTTTCTATTGGGGACACTAGACACCACTGACAAAGAAACATTCCTGGAGCATAGCTTATGACCGTGATCTTTGCTGGCTCTCCACTCTCTCTTTTTTAAGACTCAAATCAGTAGCTTACTTATTTTTATTTACTTTAATTCCAGTACCGTTAACACACAGTGTTATGTTAGCTTTTGGTGTACATAATACAGTGATTCAACCATTCCACACGTTGCCAGGGCTGGCTCTCCACTCTCTAACCAGCAGGAAGCCCTACGATCTCCCCCTACCTCCAGGTCTATATTCTGTCACTTCCCCCAACACTCCCACACTTATTCTCTGAATACTCCCTCTTCTTGTCCACCTGCTTCCTCTGCCCAAAGCGCCTTGCTTCTCTTAGCTCCATCTTCCAGCCAAGACTTTCCATGCACAATGACTGACAGCTTTCAAAAAAGAACAAAAAAACAAACCATGTCACTCTTCTGCTTAAACTCTTCCACGGCTCCTGTCTATAAAACGCACGTCCAGGCTCCTGGGTCCACAGAGCATGTAAGGCCTCCATTGACCTAACTCCTGCCTATCCCTTCAGAAAAACCCTTCTACCCTCTACCTACTTACTGCTGGGTATTTGGTGCTCCAGGGATATCCACTGCCAGTATCGTCACATTATTTCTTGTCTCTGTACCTTCAATCATGCTGATCCCCTCTGTCATTTCCCTCTTTCTTGGGTTTGGCTGTTTCATCTTTTAAGATCCATCGCCCCAAGGAGATTTTCCTTACCTGCACGCCCCACCCCCCCGCCTCCTCCCTGCGCCTTCCTGTCCTGTGCTAAAGAAGCTAACTGTCACTCCTCTGCATCCAGGACAACATCAACATTTTTACTTGAAGCAAATCACCTCATACTATCGTATGTATAGGTGTGTCCTTCTACTGCCACTTTCTCCAGTAAAATGTAAGCTAAGACTGCTCTTATTCACTCCTACACACTTGCTCCTAATAAACATTACCTTAACGAACGCTGACCTCAAATAAAAACAGGAGGTACTGGCTGCGTATCTCAACCAAATGTACAGGACATACTTCTGATACAGCTAAAAGTAAAAACTCAGAATCTTCGAACCTAATCAGCATCTGAGAGCCCTACACCTTTCATTACCAGGCAGTCAACTCCCGGGAGGGCAAAAAATTCCTGATTCAGGATCTGAGAGGAATTAGGATCCTGCCTCCTTACCACCCCGAAGGCTTTTGCTTGACATGTACCGGGAGCTGTTCAACCCAGCAAAATAACCATGAGGTTAGCAATCCACTATTCTTAGTAATTAAATAGAGAGCGGGCATCATCGTCTGCCTCTAGGAAGGAGTTGGGGACAACTGTATACAGAGACCAAGGAATAAAGCAAGAGACGAGGCGAGAGTCTCAGAGGTAACCCCAGATAAGAAGACTTTTAAATGGAAAACTGAAGAGAAGGTACATGTGCCCAAAGACACAAATCAAGGGAGTATGTTAGGAAGTGGTGTTCAACCTAGGAGACAGTTGTAAGGTAGGTCTTGAGGCGGTATATTTTAAAAGTGGCAATCTACACCACAGTAACCATTAACCCCAAAGGACGTCACTGAAGAAGTCTGTCCCCACCCCTCTCTTCTTTCATGCTCTTCACTCTCCCATCCTGGGGGTTAATAAAAATGCACATCAACAACCTTTATGAAAAAAAAAAAAAAAAGGATAAAAATAGCTTTAAACAACGTACCTTTGATTTTTTGTTCAGTGGCCTAAAATAAAAACAAACAAACAAAAAACAATGTAAATATGAAACTGAAAGAAATGGATTGTTATGATAAAATGTTCATATATTACTATTACATAAGACATATACACTTTTATTAAGGAATTTGTCACTCAGATGAACTGCATAGGAAAAGATATGCAAAGAAAGCATGCTTTTCCCACAGATGTGCCCCATTGTCTCTGACACAATGTTTAGTAATAAAAAATTTTGAAATGTTTCTTTTAGATACATAGCAGAGAAGACATCATTGTATGATAGTAAATAAAAAAAATGGGACTGCACTGTTCTCATTATTTAGTTTTTAAATGATTTTTATGTAACTTGTCACCTTTAACATTTCGTGGATCTACTGAATTTTGCGTATGTTTAAATGGCTTCAAAAATTCTTCTTTCAAATGATAAAAGATGGATTAAGTTTTCTGGAAGAAAAGCTGAAGTTAGGTTAAACATGGTTAACTTTTAAGTATTTCTTAGTGGGAGAAAATATATCAAACAGATCTGTCGCTTCTGACACACCCGACGATTCAGTAAGATCACTGTGTTCAGAAGCTGAACTGCCACAAAGCCCGCCTTTCCATGCCTGCCCCATCGCACACCCTGAGGTCTCCTCATGAGGAGCAAGGGCTTGTGACTCCAGCTTCAATGGCCCCCAAAAGAAAGAAGTGATTACAGACAGAGGCCACAAGCGAAAATCAACTTTTTTATTAAGACCAATTGCATGGGAGTCCTAAAAATAAAAGACACGAGGAGAGGCAGGGAGGTGAGGAAAGACCAAATAATTAGTAGCTGAAGAACCAGGAATTCTTCCAAAATAAAGACAAGGCTTTCCTTAAGTGCCATGGGGCATGATAATTTTGCTTAGTCATATGAAAGTACTGTCATTAAAAACATCATTTTTTGAATTAGATCATTATAGAACTAGGTGGTAAAGGACTATATGGCAATTACCCTACTCCTGAAGCCACACTGAACAATCTTCCCCTGGAGAGGCAGAGTCAGTGTGGCCAGTGAGCTACTTTACCAAGCTTTAGAGCACTAATGCTGTGGCAAATAATGGAGGCCCATCTTTTACTCTACATGGATCAAAAATTAAAAAAACAAAAAACAAAAAACAAAAAACCGATGGAAGGACAATGGCAAAAGACCAGTCAACTAGCTTGAACCCTTTATTTCTGGAGACATTGTTTTAAAATTTGATGGCAGAAAAACAGTCTTATTAGAGAGAACTTGGTATATGAATAGTTTATGACAAGTACCGTACCGTGTCAAACAATAAGATACCTAATTTTCTGAAGCCAAAACATTATAGCACAAAAATTATTTTACATCCTAAACTTAAAAAAAAAAAACCCAAAAAACTCTCCTGGTCTCTTCCACAGTTTACTTCCAAAGGAAACTAAGTTACAGAAGCCACGACCACATTACTAAATCCCAAGATGGACAGCCAGCGTTGCTCTTGTAGGCCTTAACATAAAGGATGTGTACTCTCCAACTCCTCCGGAAAAACGACTCCAAGTTGCTTCAGAACAGCCAACCTCATTCAGCATTCTGTCATCTACAGAGAAGGCACCAAGAAGACATCCAAAGGTGTCTGCCCATCAGGACGCTCACTACCACAGTAAAGGGACGGGAATAACAGAACCCAAGAGCGCCTAACAGATTAGAGGAAACTGAACTCACATGTGGTCCAGGGACCTAGCGTATTACTCAGACTATTAAAAAGAGAATTTCCCAAATGGGATCAGTAATTTTAAGAGTTGTCTGCACTTAACTCAAAATGGTAGCCACTGTCCACATGTGGCTGACCCGTGAAATAAAGCTAGTCCAAACCGATGTGTAAAATACCAGATTTCTATTTTTTAGTATTTAAAAAAGGTAAAAATATCTCATTAATAACAGTCATATTTTGGATATATTTGGTTACATAAAATATATTAAAATTAACTTCAACATTTCTTTTTTACTTTTACATGACCTTGTCATTTAAACCCTCTGGGCCTCGGTTTCCTAATTCTTGAAATGGGGTGGGGGAGGAGGGCAGGGGAGACTGGACTGCCTACCTTTCAGGGCTATTATGAGGCTCAAGTACAATATAAAAGATTTTTTTTTACAACACTATTCAAATGTGAGGTATCACCGTAGGACAGAATTAAAGGCTTCTGTCAAATCTAGAAGCAAAATTACTTCCATATTGAATATTTTTCCCTTAAAAACACAAAAACAGAAGCACCTGGCTGGCTCAGTAGGTACAGCACAGGACTCTTGATCTCAGGGCTGTGAGTTTGAGTCCCACGTTGGGCATAGAGCTTACTTCAAAAAACAAACGTGAACTGTGATTCGACAAGCAATTACCTCAACTGCCTCACTTCATAAAGGTATCGGACAGGTGGCAGACACACCACACGCCAGGCTCTCTGTTTCTGTCAGGCTCTGCACCAGTTGTCCCCACCCCTGGATCCCTAAGCAGACTTGAGCGGCTAAGAGCTCAGTGTCTGAAGCCAGACTCTCAATCCTGGTTCCACCACTTAGCACTACGTGACCTGGATCAAAATTAATTAGCTTCCGTAAAGCTCAGTTTCCTCATCTATAAGGGCAGAACAAAAACACCTACCCCAGAGCTGTTGTGAGACTAAAAGGATCTAACTCATGAAGAGCTCAGAGGGGAAAAAAGAGCTTAGGACAGTGCCTCGCAGGCAGGAAGCTTTCAGTAGGTATTAGCAGCTGCTGCTGTCACCGCCCGCCCGTCACCAGCCACACCTGCCGGTGGCACTGCCGGTGGCAGTGGCTCAATCCTTTCATGCTGGGAAAAGGCCCAACTCAAACACTCCAGGTTCCCAAGTCCCTGTTTATTTTCTCTTAATCATCTACAGTATCTAATACAGTGCCAGGTATTAGAAACTACCGTTAGGGGGGCACCTGGCTGGCTCAGTCATTGGAACATGTGACTCTTCGTCTCGGGGTTATGAGTCTGAGCCCCACGTTGGATGTAGGGATTACTTAACCCTTAGGGGCACCTGGGTGGCTCAGATGGTTAAGCGTCCAACTTCAGCTCAGGTCACCATCTCACAACTGGTGAGTTAGAGCCCCACATCGGGCGCTGATCTGACAGTGTGGAGCCTGCTTCGGATTCTCTCTTCCTGTCTCTGCCCCTCCTCCCCTGTTCTCTCTCTCTCAGAAATAAACATAAACATAAAATAAAATCTTAAAAAAACAAAAAGGAACTTTAGGAATAAAGAACTGATGCTTGAAATCACCTATTTTAAATGAGATAATTAGGGCTCAGAAAACTTCTAGGATTTCTTAGCAAGCAGCACTCAGTCTAGCCTTCAAGGCTAGATGCATACAAAGTGGCTTTTTAAAAAAAATTTTTTAATTTTTTTATTTATTTTTGAGAGAGAGAGCAAGACAAACTGTGAGCAAGGAAGAGGCAGAGAGAGGGGGAGACACAGAATCTGAAGTAGGCTCCAGGCTCTGAGCTGTCAGCACAGAGCCTGACGCAGGGCTCGAACCCACGAACCGTGAGATCGTGACCTGAGCCACAGTCAGGTGCTCAACCGACTGAGCCACCCAGGCACCCCCAAAGTGTTTAAAAAAAAAAAAAAAAAAAAGACTGGAGACCAGCAAGGTGAAACAGGCAGGACTGGAAGAGAACACCTGACCGCCCTGGATGACTGCAGCACTCCAGGCCTGCTTAGGTTACTGCCCAGGCTGCTGAGAAAATGTTACTTACACTGCTGAACATGATCCCTAGTCTCAGAACAAAATGGTCTTCAGGAGACATGGCGATTAATACTTAAATCTCCAAAAAAGGGGAATGAAAATTGGAAGTTTTCTACGATGTAAGTCCTGCTTAAATTCAAACTGAGTACATTTAAATCCACAAAGCCTAGAAAAATCCTCACAGCTCTTAACACAGTAACAAAAATACTCAATGGTCTGTGTTCAACAGGCTTTAAAACAATCTCAGCAGTAAAAGGTCCCAATTTGTACTGTTGCTTCCCTCCGGCCCCTCAATTCTTAAGTGCTTTCTAGGAACTACAATTACATGCTTAAAGGTTATACCAAATTATCCCTCTATAATTAACCTATTTCTCAACCTCCTTTTCCCTCCTCCCTACATTTCTCTCAAGATTCCTTCTAGAAATTTCTTCTAAAAACAAAACCTGGAGATAAATCCAACCTACTGCTACCACGGTTGCCCCCACCCCCCCGCCTTTTAATTGAGTGACTCCATTCTGAGCCTGCCTACTGCCCCGTTTAAGCACAGAAACTACATTCCCGTGGAATATCAAATTATTTCCTAAGCCTTAGAATTAAAAGGTAAGTAAACAGCCATGATTCTTAGATATGAAATAGAAATATTTTCAAAAAACAAAATTAAAAATAAAGACATCCAGACATGGATCTTCATTGTGAGAGATGTACTGAGGCTGAAATATAATAAGAAGCATGTAATCTTTGTGTAACATTTCTTTAAGAGGAAGTTAAATACTTAAATTTATATTGAAGAAGATAAAATTTTAAAAACTACCATAGTAAAAATATTACGATGAGCCATGTTGGTGTCGAATAATTTATATAATGAGTTAGGTCAATGGTTTTTTTTCTTGTTTTTTGTTTTTTTAAATTTAAAATAGAAAATAATCAGGGCACCTGGGTGGCTCAGTCGGCTAAGTATCCAACTCTTGGCTTCAGCTCAAGACAGATCTCAGTTTGCAGGTTCAAGCCTTGCATCAGACTCCGCACTGATAGTGCAGTGCCTGCTTCGGATTGTGTGTCTCCCTCTCTCTCTGCCCTTCCTCTGCTCATGCTCTGTCTCTCTCAAAAATGAATAAACATTAAAAAAATTTTTAATTAAGTAAAATTAAAAAAAATTTTAAAGATAGAAAATAACCTGTGGTCAGAATTCCTTAAAAATACTATAGTGACTATTAGGGACTGTTTCTGTATGCATGGCATACAGGCCTGTTAAATGCCTTACAGAGATTATCACAATATATTATTTGCAGCTTTAAAGTTCACCTTTAGGTTGGGGGCGGGGT